TTTAACCGTCGCGAAAACAGTTCAGGAAATGTGCGAACTCGTAGAGAAAAAAGTTGAAAAATCAAGTAAAGTCCCCTGAAGTCGAAAAACTCATTCTCAAGAAAGATATCATTATTATTATTTGATAACTTTGCGCTATCTACGTCGTGACATTTGCTATTAGAAGTAAAACCTTTAAAACCTGAATGAGAAGTTAATGACGACTGTGCGCGCGAGCCGCAATCGAAGAGAACTTTAAAGAGTCTCCCAGTACCTCTAGAACTCGTTAAAAGGATTGGGAGTTAAATATGATAAGGAGAAATCGAAGAGGAAGAGAAGCCGCCGCGAAAATTACGAGGAAACTTTCTAAGTATCCGCGTCTAACAGAGAGAATACTGATCTGACAAAGTCGCTTAAAATATGCGGGCCTAAAAAAAAAAAAAAAAAAAAAACTATTTCCCGTCTATGATCAATGATGTTGCAATATGATCGATCTCCTCGCGTCGTGACTTTACGAATCACACACACACACACATGCGCGCAATAGAAAAATAGAATAAAACAACACGTAACAATAATGTAAAATATTAAAATTCAAATAACTAAATTCGGCGAAAACGAAACGTAACAACGCAAGTTTGCTCTCACAACAATGTGTACCTATATACGATTTTATTGTCTCCTTCCGACGAGATTTTCATTTGCCGCCTCTTCTCTCATTTTTTTCATTTCCATGTAGGATCGCCGCTGAACGCGAAAGCGTATTGATCGTAGAGATCGAGAACGAGCGATTTATCAACGATCGATTGATCGATCGATCGATCGGGAGGGGAGGAGGGGAGGTATCGTCGCTTAATCGCTAAACCTAACTTTAATACGTAAGGATCGGACAACTGACACACTGAACCCGCCGCCGCGCTTCTCGAAAAGTCGCGATTGCAATGTTTAATTCCCGCTCGAGGAGGCCGACTCACGCGAGTGGGCCATTAGATCACGTTGTGAGCCGAACGAGCGTGAAAATCGTCGCGAGAAGCGGAACGAGAAAGTTGGCGCGTACGATGCGCGCGGTCGAACGCAAATGATCGCCCGCGCTAAGTCTCTGCCTGTTCACGTGCCCCGTCGTTATCTTTTTCTCGGCAAGGTACACTTTCGAGCCCACCTCGGCGATGCATTTCACGTTGATCTCTCCCGCGTCGTTGATGAAGTGCCGTTGTTCGGCCTCCAACCAGAGCCCCAAGCTGTTTGGGAAGCCTCCCCCGTTGACGATAGGCAGCAAGGGCGGGTTCTGGACAGTATCCTCGCGACGTACCTGCAACAAAATATCTCCTTAAGTAAAAAAAAAAAAACTTGAACTGTCTCTCTAATGTTATATTACATATACCAGTACATATTATATACATACATGTATATATCTTCCTCTCTATTATAATTAACTTATCCTCTTAGAGCGAAAAAAAAAAAAACGCAATATATATTCCAAGAATATATAGAGAGAGCGGAGCGTAATAGAAAGATAATTAATTTATCGGGAAATTTTTTCCGTATATCTCTATAATAGCCACGTGATTACGTACGAAGGAAAAGGATCAAAAACTTGGGAATTACAAGCTCGCTTTAATTATTATTCTCTTTCATTTGAATGAGAATGCGCGATCGATTTCGATACGCCCGTCTGCCTTTCGGTCCGATATTATTTCTCTTCCCGCGTTTACGCGTGTAATATATAAGAGCCCGTATTTTATATTACGCGAGAGCGCTTACATATGCACGCTCCCCCTCCCCCCAACCTTCCCCTCCGCGGTATAATAAGAGGAGAATTTCGCTGAAAGTCGACACACCGCGAATCGTTTGTTACGCGCCGAGCTACAGAGAGAGAGAGAGAGAGAGAGAGAGAGAGAAAGAGAGAGTAAAAGAAGAGCCGCGCGCGGTCGGCCGCGGCGGTGTTGTAGCTGCGGATGAGAAACGAGCTCGCGGAAATTTTTGTCTCGCGCGCGCACGTTGTTAAAGACGAGAGCTCCGGAGAGAACAAGGCGCGAGAGAGAAATAGAGAAATCGAGCCCCACGTCCGCTTTAATTTCTGACACGGCAAATAAATTCGCGCGTCAGACCATTTCTCGTTCCGTTAAGCGTTAATTTTTTCCCTCCTTCCCCTCCCCCCCCCTCATTATTTGCGACTTTACCTTCGCGGTACATTTGTTTTCTTGCGGCAAATGTGATGTGTTCATGTTGTCCGCGAAAGAAATTTATAATTTGTTTTTTTTTACGACGAATTGTTCAATATCATCCTCGCGTTTCTCCTTCCGGATGGTTTGTTGCGGAAGAAAAACAAGATTACGTTTTCATTTACGATTGGTATTTTAATACAACCCCTCCCCTCCCGCCCCCGACATGTTAAATACCTCGAGTCGGGTCATTAGAATTTATATACACAGTTACGCGTTCTCTCTCACTTACTTCAAAGTTTTTCTCGATCGAGATTTTATTCATGGACGAACTTTCGCAGAAATACAAAAGATATACTTCTCCGCGTCGCGGCTCGCTGTTCCAATACGAGCGATATTGTTAAGGGAGTTTCCAAAGACTTTTGGGGGGACGGGGAAGGGAAGGAGGAGGGGGGGAGACAGATCACGGGATCGTCTACGAAATGCTGGTGCATACATATGCAGGGAACGATCAGCGGGCGTTTGGCTTTAACCGTTCGACGTTAACCATAAGCCGTGGGTACGAGTCATGTAACTAATCGAACTAGCACATTGGACCGAGCCAAACTATCGTCCTCGCTTTGTGGCTTGGATCGCCGACTCCAAAGTTAAAGCCTCAGTCCATAGAGAACTACTGTTCGTAGATAATGCTCGGGTCTCTCTCTCTCTCTCTCTCTCTTTCTCCTGGTCGTCTTACTTACCAATAACTTCCGCATGCTGGAGTTGAGAATAATGGATATCGCGTGACTCGAAATTTTCGCAGGAAGCCGATGATGGGTCGTCGATTGCAAACAACAATCTCGCGCATTATCCGAGGTGTTGTATCGGGCAAATAAAAATTATACATCTGATGGATGGATTTTTGCAAGATTGTTGAAATATACATACGTATATTTCAACAATATATATATATATATATATATGTATATATGTATGTTGAAATGTGTACATATGTATAATATGTGCACGTATGGCGCACAGATGCGCTACACCATACGCGATACGCCGTTGATTGATAGTAACGAAAAAATTCATCGAAACACATCGCGCGGCAAAATTTGCGTCACGACCTTGTTACACGTTCTTGTTTTCTGAAAATGCCAGTCGCGCGTTTCGACTGCATTTTGCCGGTTGCGCGTACCGTAGCATAGCCGCGCCCCGTGTCGGGTTTATTGATGCATTACACCGTTTTGTATTTTGCATTTTGCGCAACGTCGCGCATCCGTGTGTCTAATGTGAGCGTGGGGATTTTAACAAATGTGCCGGTTCAATCGAATTTATTGCCTCACGGTCTTTTGATTTATTCGTTATTACACGTTTTATTACAACGACCGGAGCTCTCAAAAACTCTCTTTGAAGATAGCCCAGCATTTTATTCTCCGCGGGCAGATAATATACATATGTGTTATGGCGCGTGTTGAGGTGCAAGGTTTATAAAATTTTAATTTTCTATTATAGCCTTTCTCCTCTTTTGGCCCGCATTAGCAATGATGATTCGAGAGAGAGAGAGAGAGAGAGAGGCAAGTTTTTCACAGTTCTTTCATCAAATTAATATCAAACAGGCAATATAACGAACGAATTATTAAGCGCGCTTCGCGCACTGATTACGGAGCTGCGTTATTTACAGTTTTCGCTTTAATGTGAAAAGTATTTTTTCTAGCGCTAATTATGCCGCGGGAGTATGGCGTAGGATTTAATTAAATTCGCATCTCGTTCGCATTAAAATTTTACCGACATAATGCACACGCATCCCCCGGACGTATCGTGAAAAAGATTGCCGCGCTAATTACACGAATCGTTTCATCGCGGGTTTAATTTCGGCCGAGCGATTATTTTTGCGACGCAGCGCAAGGGGGGACTTTTCGCGATTTTATCGTCACGTCGCCCCGCGGCTCGCGGAATCAAGACGCCGATAATGTAATTGGCAATAGATCTCGGCCGAGCGAATGGCCGCGACGACCACATAAACCCTTCCAGAAGGCAGTTATTATCGGCGATGAAGGTTAATCGTCAGGGGGGTGTGCGCGCGCTGGCTGGCTGGCGCGGACGATATTTCAAGACCGTTCGAGGTCGCGCGTTGACTCGGCGACGATTGCCCGACGTCATATCGGTGATTTATGCACGTCCGTACGGATACCGGAAGATCATTGTTCGTCGTTCTCTCCCGCGCGCGCGCTCGTTCGTCGCATTGTGCCCTCCTCTCTCGCCTTTTCATCGAGCGAGCGCGGTTCATCCCGGTTCGAACAATGTTTGCCACGCGAGCCGTCGCGAGGCCCCGTCCATAAGGGCGATTTGCCCGCAATTTCTGAAGGATTCATTGTTCGATCGTCGATCGTGACCGGAATCTCGCGCGCGCTCGCGACAATGGGAAACGATTGGGAAACGTGTAATATGCATTCCTGTGAGGAAACACGGAATTCTCGCACGCCAGAAATTTTCAGGCGTGCGGTTTTTTTTTTTTTCAGATATCACACAGACACGAGAGAAAAAGAAAGAGATATAAATGTATTTTTAGCATCGTTTTTACATGGTTTTTTTTTTTTTTTTTTTACGCGACCAATGTAGATAAATAAGTTCGAAATGTTTTTCACGGCGAAAAAACCTTCGTCACAAATTTGTACGGAAAACCATCTGTCAACATTGAAAGCTATTAATTCGATCGTTATTTGTTCTCTCGTTTCGAGAGAAGTAGAATTTGATGGCTAATAATTTTGGCAAAAAACTATTTTACGAGACGGTATAATACTTCACTGTTATAAATATTTTACACGCGCGTCTCGACGTCGCGTGTGCGCGCGCGCGCGCGCGCGCTAAATGACAGCGCCAGTAAAATAAGATTTATACCGATCTCATTTGTTCATATTTCTCGTTGCTCGTGAACGACAACTTTTTCCAGTAACGATGAAAATATACGGTGAGAATAATATAATGAAGCTTGCGGCACGATGCACACGTATGGACCGTGTAATTATATTTTTTGAAATAATTCCGCGTCCATTTGTATTCGCCAGCTGGCTAAGAACAGTGTAAATCCTCATTTCCCGGACGGACATTGGTACGCAGACATTGTGCGCGCATAAGCGCGCATATATTTTTAAAACAAAGTTTCTTTTGAAAATTATTATTCGCAGAAATATTTCGCAGCTTAATTACGCGCTGTTTTTTTTTTTTTTTTTTTTTTTTTGTCTTTTTTTTTGACATTTTCTTTGCTTGTGTGAAGAATTTAAACACGGGTAAAAAAATTGGTGCGCAGCTTAACTGCGAACACTTAATTAGAAATTACACGTTTTAACCGTTTTTACTTAACGGAGCAAGCTTGTATTTACACTTTGCAACAAAAGTTCAAACTTCTCTTGAGAAACGAAGATTTCTCGCGTTCTCTCCCCTTCCCTCTTCCCCGACAATCCGCACACGTTGAGTTTTGTCGCGATGTTTACTCGGCGAGGCTGTAGGAAAATAATGTAATTCTGGCATAACATCGTTTCGGGTGACTTACATGGTACAAGAAGCAAAGGTAGAACTCAAAGCAGCACACCGGGAACGTGGCGACTTGGTTGCTTTGGGGATTCGGGCGCGCTTTGGCGTTTCGTATCCGCGCCCGAACGTTAAAACAACTTTTCCGTAATATCTGCTTTAACGCCGCCTCCGGCTTACATCGCGTGAATTGCAACGGCACACACAGGTTTTCTTTTCGGTTCGGGCTTTGTACCCGCGCGTTTCTTAGTGCCAACGTATGGCGTTTGTGAGAGAATAATATAGACTTTATGAGCATACACACACCCCATGCCCGATGGGGGTTTGATACGCGCGTAACAAAGGTTTGCGCACATCTGCCGCTGAGAGATACGACTCGAACTCGCCGAAATGCGAGAAACAAAAGCTTCAGGTAAATGACACGAGGAAAATATTAATTAATTCAAAAAAACGATAAATTTTCTTTCGCGCGCGATTCAATTTTCGCGTTTACGCCAACGACAACGTTGTATACAACATACGTGTGTGTGTGTTCGCGACGTTAAAAAGATTATCTGAGATTGATCTTCCGCAGGTAATGGCTGCGTTTTACCGTTTTCATTAAAGCGGGCATTCATTATCCGGAAGGGAGGGG